TATTAATAAAAAATAACCTGTTTTTTTTTTTTTTTACATTTATCAAAAGCTTTGAACGTTATAATTTAGACACCGATGACWTCATGGTTTACAATAACCCCGTCAGATTATAGAAGTTAGCTTCAGAAAAAGGCTAGTATGAAAACATCTAATTTGTCAACTAAGTTCACAGAATATTAACTGTTTTCGTTATGGCGATTTGAAGCAACAACAGTTTACTRACAGGACTTTCACCAGAACCGGCAGAGGATGTGCTGGTCTCTGACAGAACCGGGTCCTGGTATGAAACCGACACAGCTGGAATCGGTGGACTTTATCTCTTGAATGATGAGCAACAATAAATAATTTACTTTTGTCTGCTGACTTCTAAAAATGTGCAAATCATTAAGCGACAGTCAACTTTATATCCATGAAAACATTTTTCTCCAAAACAAAAAGGAGATTTTTTTTTAGTAATGTCTGTGTTTTAATGTCATGTTTGCATCTCTTATAGACCTAAATGATATTCTGCCCAGCAGCTTTTATAAACACAAATCTCTAATAAAAAGTCACCAAAAAAACTCAAACATTAATGCAGTTTGTAAAACCAAACATTTACAAGACATCAGTCTTATTGTATTTATGACTTTTAGAGTTGGTTTTAAATGAACGGACACACTCTGTCTGTGGTTTCTGTTAGTCTGGATGTATGATGTTAACATCCTGCAGCTGCTGTGGACCTGAACCAGTTCTTGCCTCTGTGTTGCAGACACACAACTCCAGAGAAGCTCTACATCGAGCCTTGTGATGTTCACGGTTCTGTGGAGGTTCTGGTCATCGACAGGGTGTCGGCCGACATGAGTCTGACCGGTGAGGACCCGACACAACATCACTGACTCAGCATCTCTTAACTGACCCACATTAATCCAGAGTGACTGCTGATTCTTCACTTCTCTGCTTTGTTTTTGTTTCTTTGTCTCRTTCCATTTAAAATGTGTTGCTTATGGGGAAAGTAAAATCTTATTTAGTTATTATTGCTGAATGTGTTTAAAAGTTGGTCTGAATGTTGTATAACTTATRAAATCACAAACCCCAGCTGTTTACAACAACACCTAATTTCCCTCTGGGATCAATAAAGTATTTTTGAATTGAATTTGAATTGAATTGTTCCTGTTGTGTTCCTCAGTGAGAGCAGATGTTCCTGTTTTAGCTGAAACTGTGTCAATATGTGGAATCATGGGAACTATTCGTTTACTGGCAGGTAAAAGTCTGTCATTTRCCTTTAACTCTGTGAGAATTTCAACAAGTATTTTTTTAACCTAAAGGTAAAACTGTTTCTGTTTTTTAGGCATGTACCTGGTAGTGATCACAAAGAAGATGAAGGTGGGAGATTTGCTGAGTCACACTGTGTGGAAGGCTGTAGACTTTGACATCATCTCGTATAAGAAGACCATACTGCACTTAAACGATGACCAGGTTGGTTTTCATTTTGAAACATTTGTAACCAGCTCATGTTTGGACCAAATAACAGTGTTTTGTGCAGGGTTAGAAAGGAATGCGTGAGTTTTGGGATAAAGTTTGTGATGAACTGGTTAGGGCAGGGTGGAGAACACTGAGAGAAAAAAACTCCTCTGGCCACAGTTTGTAAACCTAAATGATGCTACAATAAACTGACAAAACCATATAAGTGACCCGTCACATCAAACCCAGGATTAAATCATAAAATGGATAAACAAGCAACTGCATTGCATTGGTTTGCAAATTTGTATCTTGTTAAAATATAAAAAAACAAACAGCTATGAGTCATTTAAATGAATGGAAGTCTAATTTTATGTGGTGGGGGATGCATTATGTATTTTTCAGGCACGTAGTTTAAATCTACACCACAATCAAGTAACTATGTTACCTTCTGTTGTAATGAAAATGATGTCCTGATGCATCTCAGTAATCCAGGTAAAAAATCAAAAGGAAAAAAATTGTATAGGTCTTCTGGACGGGTTCTTCTCTAATGAAACGTTTCGTCTCTCCTCCAAGAGACTTCTTCAGTCTGAGAGTTTCAGGCAGTTTTGCCTGAAACTCTCAGACTG